TTGGTGACCATCAGTCATGAACTGGTCTACTTTGATCATAATTGGTGCGGAATTTGATCGTGTATTCAGACCTATACACTTGTGGCAATGCGTTCAAATGGCACACCGGCTCAACAACAAGGTAGTGGAGAGGGTCATGACATATTTAGGACAGATGAATTTGTGATACCTTTATAATTTAATGCTTCTGATGTCAAAGCACGTCGTATAGTGATCGTTTCTCTGTATTCTATTTTTTTAGCCGTAGTGTACGATTTTCTCAAAGTTGATTTTTGTCATTTTGGTGAGCGAGCTCTTTCATCACTTACCTTCCTCGGGGAACTTCCCAAAACATTTTTAGGCCCAAGTTAAATGTGTCCCGTCATCTTAAGCAATGTAACTCCAATATCCTTCTCTCTCATTGAAATTTATTTTTAAACTAGTTAAGAGGCTTATAGGAAAAAGCACATATGAGTAGTTTTTAACAAATTGAGATAATAATGAGTTCAATTAAAATTAGTTTTAAAAATATTCTGTGAGAAAATCACTGATAAAATCCTATTTTTAAGCGTCAAAACGTGCGTTTGAACTTTTCTTTCGCCATATTAAGGCTCCATTTAATTTTAGAACTTAGAACAATCAATATTTCTTGAAATAGCAAAAACTGAACTTTTACGCCTTGTTCTCCAAGCCCCTCAGTTGTAAGTTACTGTGAATTGTTGGATGTAATTATTTCACGGTGCACTTTTAAATAAAAGAATTGTTAAACTACAAAGCCACCTAGGCACATATTTGCTGTACATACTTTATTTTTTAGAGAGATTTACAAATCAGCTACAAAATTTGAAATTTTCTCGGGTTGCACCTCACTCATTTTCTATATTCATCCTCCAAAAACCTCCAGATCCGTGATATAATCTTGAGTTTTTCCTAGAAGGAAAATTATGGGTGTGGTAATTTTGAAATTTTCCGATGTCGGAGAGTGTTTTTAGAGTGGCACTATCGAAAATCAATAATTAGTAATGACGAGGAATAGAGCGTATTGCCTCTTGCACGCTCCAGATGTTAGAATCGATCAGAAAAAATCATCCTGTGATTTGCGATTGATATGGGCCGCATTCGGCCGCAAGTTCTGGGGACTTGTTCCTTTTTGGGAGCTTTAAGTTGGGCCAACGAATAGAGACAAGACTTTCGCGAGCCCTGAAAATTGTAATAATGCTTAGGGACCGGGAGAAATTGTTTATACTCGGAGGTTTGATGGCCTCCCACCCCCCTCCCCCCAAAGTTGGAAAAAATGTATCATGTCTATGCGTTCCTCAATTTTTGAATCGTTCCATTTTAAATGACGTTTCTCATCGAATATTCCTACATCTCGGCAAAGTTTTTGGAGCTTGTTCCTCCTCTTGTCTACTCAGTTTAGAAATGTATCTTTTCTTCGTTAGTGGGTGCATTTCTTATTCGTGATAGAGTGGTGACGGTTCAAATTGACTGTGTCTCTGATTTAGGCTTTCGTGAAGGCAGTGAGTTTTCGACGCCAATTTTTAGACCACACGGAAAAAACGACTATAGGCTCTAAGGTCCTAGAACAGCATCACCTTAATTTTAGGTGGGGACCAGCTTTAAAGTCACATGACTAGACTTCAATCCGAGCAGAGCAGGTGCCTACCCAAATCTAGGTAATGATATTTAACTCACCTCTCTTGGCATGAGCATCAAACCATTTTCTCCGTTTGTGGTTTTGTAGCTAAGGTGCCTTTTGAAATGGTTAGAGAGGGCTCAATAACAGTTCACTCCAGAAATGTCGCAGAATGCACATGTGAGAGGCCTTTCAAAAGTTCAAAATAGATCCCTATTATGTAACTTCTTCGGAAAGTCCGCACGGAAAAAACGACACTAGGTCTAAGGCCTAGAATGTATTACACCTAGATTTTAGGTACGTACCAACCCTACCCTCGCAGGGCTAGACACCAATTCGGGCAAGGCTGGTGCCTACTAAAAATCTAGGTGATGTCATTTTGCCTACGCATCAGTTCCTAGCCGTGTTTCCCTCTTTTGCGAAAGAGCTGGCTCTACCAGAGCTCTTAAAAATAACCCCAGAAGGGCCCCAACGCCGGACAGAATCTATTTGACCTGAGTTCGTGTTGAGCGAAGGCCTTCAGCTTCGGGCTCGAAAACCTCCATTGCCAGGGAACGCGTGGACGTTTTCATGCCTGCGAAAAAAACATGCTTTCACGTAGGCAAACTGAAAAATTGACATTGTAAAAAACTTTGCCTCTCTTGCTTGATGTGGTGGTACAGCACGGTACAGCAAAAAACGGTCATACAGATCCCGAGGCTGCGAACAAATCTGCGAATTAATCACGGTGATGACGCCTCTACAATGTGACGGGGCACAGTGGATCGAATCAATCACAGAGATCGAACACGACATTTCTTTACTAAAAATGCAAATCTTGATGTTAAATCCGTCACATGATACATTTTAAGGGGTGCTTTTCGCAGAAAATCTTACGAGGAAACCGATAGAATCACTTTTAAAACGTCAACGTTTTGTACGAACGGAGTTACAAGCTTTTAAAGTTTCCAAATAGTGTCCGACCTCTCCCATCGACTCCATCCACTGAGCAGGGGATGAACCGAACGCACTTACCATAGATGCCACTATGTGCAAATTAATAAAATCAAAAGGATAGCTATGTCCATTAGGTTTGCTTTATGTGTGATTCCTTTTAAGTCAATTTATTTCCACGTGTTTTCTTTTAACAAAGTAAGTCCAACCTCTCCCAAATGCATGAGCTATGAACTAAGAGCGATGTACGCATTTTCAGTTGACGCGGATTGGTGATGAGGCTGAGATGTGCTAAAGCGATGGATGACATCGACTGGAAAGTTTTTCAGGAGACGACGTTTTCACTGATTGAGTTCTGCCAGGACTGACGTATTGTTGATTAGTGAGACCGAGATTTTATCTCAATTTATCACGATTTTTTGTTCGATAATATTGCGACAAATTGCCATCGATAAAATCGCGATTTTACTGCAAATCTATGTGATGAAATCGCAATTTAATGCTATTATGACATATTATGCTCCGATGACATTGAAATAAATCGACGTCGCGATAAAATCGCGATACGTTATCCGATTAAATCGCATCTTATCGCGATCACTGTTACTTGGGGTGCGTCATAGATCGTCGCTCCTCTGACGTAAGGAAGGGCGTAACTTGATTTCTACGTGACCCCTGTGCTCCGTATAACTCTATGCTTTCTAAGGCTCACGCAAAAATCTAGATACGCCCTTACGTCAGAGGAGCGACGAGATGAGACAGTTATGTTCCACAACTTAGCGGGCGCGAAGCGACCACTAAGGGGTTTGACCGCCAGGGTTACCAAAGAATGAAGAAATTGAAATTCCCTGACGATTTCCTGATTTCCCTGTCACATCTTTGCACAATTCCTTGGATATTGTAAATATGCCAGATGGTTAAAAAGACATGATTTCAAATAGTTTTCGCTTAAAATCTATTGTTCGAGACGTCAAACCTGGTCTGGAGAGCAAATAAAGGTGACTTTACAATTTTTCCCTAGCATTTTCGTCATTTTCCCTGACAGTTCCAGGTTTGCCCTGACTTTTTAAAATTCCCTGACATTTCCCGGTGTTCTCTCACTGTGCTAACCCTGGATCGCGTAGCGGCAGAGGACAACCCCTAGTTTTTCAATAAACGGAAAAAAAAATGCTGATTCAACGATTCAATTGCTAAAAACAGTGAGTGCAATGTTTCAACGCAGATTTTACAACAAAAAAATGCTACTTTAACCACCCCCGTGGGTAAATTAGTTTACAATGTGGTTAAAACAGCATTTTTTTGTCGTAAAATCTGCGTTGAAACATTGCAATCACTGTTTTTAGCAATTGAATTGTTGAATCAGCAATTTTTTTTTTCCGTGTACGAACAGGTTAATTTGGGATGAATGAGTGGGTGGAAATGGACCGCGCTATGCAGAAAGGAGCCAAGCCACGTCAGCCATTGCCAAATTTAATTGGGCAATTTAAGTTTCTTCGTGAAAACGGTTTTGCAAATTTTTCTCGGAAATTTCGGTGAATTTTCTGCATAGTGCGAAGCATATTACTTTAAATTTCAAAGGAGCAGTCCACACAAACTTTCGCTCGTAAGCAATTAAATTGCCCAGTTTAATTTGGCAATAGCTGATGTGGCTTGGTTTCTTCTTGGTAAACCAGAGTGTCTACCAGTTATAAAAAACCAAAATTGAGCACTTTCGGGGACTTTTAGGGGTGTTTTTTCAAGAAAATTGGGGACTTTTTTCCCCCAAAATAGTAAGTGAAAGGGAGCTAGTTAGAGCGTTAAAGGGCGTATTTTATACGACTAATTTTACAAGTTATGTTGAACCGATGAAAACATACGAAAAACCAAGCAACACTTCAGTTTTTATATTCTTGGTCATACCGCGCCGTTGCAACTGGTCGGAAAATTTGAAAATGACGGTGTTTAGAACGACCTTTGTCATTTTTGGGGGGCCTGAACAAGACAATTGGGGACTTTCGGGGATATCAAGGATACCCTTCCAAAATCGGGGATAATCGGGGACATTGGGGACTTTTGGGGACTGGTAGACATCTTGTAAATGCGGCTCAAATGCAGAGACAAGAGACCCTCCACTGGCCTCCTAGCGACAGATGGAAGCTTTTACTTTCGGGGTTTCAACAATTCCTTATGGACAATTACTAGGGAGCAACAGTCATCACCCTAGTTTCGGCTGTTGACTTATCTAAATGGTCGATGATGAGCTTCGGATGACGTCATGAGCCAAACACCTTTCCCAAACGTCGGCCATTTTCGGCTTGTTTGCAAAACGAAACTGCCAACACGTTGTTGAACATCAACCACGTAGGTAAGTCAACAGTGGAGTGCTGAAGTCCCGAAAGTAAAGGCTTCCACAATGGCCAAGATACTAGTGGAGGGTTCCTTGTCTCTGTTCAAATGTGAATTATGGACTCACCCAGTTTTGGCGAAGTTGGCCCAGTAGCGCATCATCCGCTTGGCGAGCTCCACCTCGGCCGGCTGGTACTTCTTGGTCGGGTTGAGCGGCTCGCCGAAGATGTAGTTGATCTCGTCGCCGTGGAGGGCGCCCGACCAGGTGGGCCACGGACTGCTCGTGGACCTGTGCTTGAAGTAGTACATGTACACGGTGTTGCCCGTCTCCGCGTACCGGTACGCGAACTCGTTGACGTTGCACGTGAAGTGGAAGTCGCCGACGATCTTGTCCAGCGCGTCGCGGTTCTTCACCGGGTCGTCCGGGTTCAGCCAGTCCGTGTACTCGAAGATGATGGCGCGCCGCACGATGAAGTTGTACGGGTTGAGCTCGGACACCGCCTGGATGAACTGGTCGCGGGAGACGTGGATGTTCTCCTCCTTCCGGAAGAGGTCCGTCAGGTAGTACATGATCCAGTAGTTCCCCTCCTCCGTGTTGCTCCCCATGAGGATGTTGGTCTTCTTGAAGTTCTTCGTCGCCAGGGACTTGGACGGCATCTCGTCCAGGAAGGAGCCGTCCACGACCGGCACGAACGGGAAGTCGCAGATCCCTAGGGTCCCGCTCTCGTTCTCCACGAGCACGCTCGCGTTGACCTGTTGTTATCACGATACAAGATTAGAATCAAATACATTAGGCCTTGTCCACACGAGCGCAGTTCGCGGAACTTATTCCTCGAACTTGCTCAGTTCCCGGAACTTATTCCTTGAAATGAGGCATGCTGTCCCCACGGGTTCGTCCGAACTGGAACCGGAACTTCAATAAAACTATACAATTATTGCAAAATAATAGATTATTATGACCGCCAAAGTAACAAAAATAAATGTCAAGATCATATGTAAAGGACGTGAAAAACAAAAACAAGCAAATTCACATCAAAAGAAACATATTTAGAAGCTCGGAGCACGGGGGAAATTCCAGGTTTTGGAGGAATAAGTTTCAGCTCAGCAAAAAACTTGTTCCGGGAACAAGTTCCTCGAACTGAGTTCCGCGAACCGCGTTCGTGTGGACAAGGCCTTACAAGAATATACTACTAATACTATATACTTGAATATACTTGCACTGATTCCTACCTCGGTCAGTTGCATGCTCATTTTCTTGTTTTAATTTTTACATTTTTTAGCTTCTTTTCCAGTTGAGAATGGGCATGTAATTGGCCCAAAACGTCCTGGTTGTTTATTTATCCTCCATAGCCTTGTATACCCATTTGTTTTTTGTATTTTAGTGTGTTTTTATTGTTGTCTGCATTCGGGCTATTGCGTCTCTCGCTAACTTATTACAAGAATATATTACAATACATGAATTGGAGGAGTAAGTGCGAGGTGATAGAAAACTACTGAATCTCAAAGGTTCTTCAGTAACACATAAATCTGCATATCTCTGAAACGATACACAGTGGTCTTCAAGCAAAAAAAAAATAAAAATAAAAATAAAAATGTAGAGATAGAGAATTTGCATGCAAATTTTTTATTGCTTCATCTGGAAGTGCTTGAATAGCTGATTTCGCAGTATTTTTTAACTTTTTTTCTAATATGGGGAACAGCATAAAAATAAAATTAAAAGAAAAATAAACCGCTTCGTGACGTCATCTGGCGGGTTTTCCCATTTAAACGCATGTATTTAGCAGAATGGATCATTTTGTCATATCTCCTCCACTAATTGTTTAATTTACGAACCGCGGGTATTCTCTGTGTTCAGTTCAATCGGTAGTTTCCACTTAAATACGAAATTCATCAAATTTCAGACACCTACAAATTCTCCATTCCAGATTTTTTTTTACCTTGGAAGAGGGAACACTTTTACGGTCAAAGTCGGATATAACATTACTCGGTTTGCGACGTCGCAGACTTCCTGTCATACTTCATTTTTTAAACGGAAAACTACTCAACGGCGATTCCTTAAAACTGCCGTGATTTGTCCTCTCGAAGCGAAAAAAATTCAGCAAAACCTTCAAGGAATGATGCCAATTTGTTCTCCTTTAAAAAATAACGTAGAGGCAGAGATTTTCAGACACCGCAAACGAGATATGAACCGCGTTAAACAGAAAAGAACCAAACCACATCAGCCATTGCCAAATTTAACAGAGGAATTTGATTTTTTACGAGAGAGTGTTTGTGCGGATTCCTTTGAACATTTTAAGGAATTTGCTTTGTGTTATGGAAAAAATTCATAGAAATTTGCACAAAAATCCGTACAACCGTTTTCATGTAAAAAGTTAAATTGCCCGATTAAATGGACTGAGTTAAGCAGAAAGGAACCAACCCACATTTTGGAAAAAATTGAGTTATGAGTGATTTTGAACTCAACCACTGCTCTACTATCTATCGCCAAAAATTCAAAGTTTTTGTTGGAACAAATTTTGCAGAAATCGAACTTGAAGTTTATCTTTTACATTGAGTCTTATGCAGGAGTCAAACTTTAAACCTCTTTTTCTCGGTTCGATCCCGATGTGGCTTGGTTCCTTTCTGTTTAACTCCGTCCAAATATGGCAATAGCTGATGTGGCTTGGTTCCTTTCTGTTTAACGCGGTCCAGGTCCATATCGACGGTATAAGTCGGCAATCACATTACTCGGTTTGCGACGTCGCAGACTTCCTGTCATACTTTATTTTTTAAATGGAAAACTACTCAACGGCAATTCTTTAAAACTGTCATGATTTTTCTTCTCAATGCGAAGAAAATTTTGCAAAAACTTCAAGGAATGATGTCAATTTGTTCTCCTTTGAAAAAATAACATAGAGGCGGAGATTTTCAGACACCGCTAACGAGATATGTGATTGCGGACTTACACTGGAAAAAAACCGCATTGGATCTAGAGTCCAGACTCTTGAAAACATTGACAAGAAAAAATACTCTCGATTCAATCGGTTTTTTGCTTGAATCAAAACGAAATCCGCTTAAATTAAGAGGCTTGGTTCTTAATTTAAGCTAGATTCTGATTGAATCAACAGTACTTTTTCTTGTCAATGTTTTTAAGAGTCTGGACTCTAGATCCAATGTGTTTTTTTTCCAGTGTACTTCCGGTATATTCATATTAGCATCATATTTGATTATACTATACCTTTCGGAGGCACTCGATAGCCTCAGGGATCTGCGCGCGCGTGTGAGGGCAGCCGACAGCCTCGGCGAGGCGGAGACCGCGGATGATGGACTCCTGGCGGGAGATGATGGCCCAAGGCGCCGTCGCCGACCCGGACTCCATGATCGCCTGGCTGAACAAGTTCCTACTCAGCGGCGAGAGGAGGTGCATGGAGACGGACACCGCCCCAGCCGACTCGCCGAAGAGCGTGATATTGTGCGGGTTCCCGCCGAAGGCGTGGATATTGTTCCTGATCCACTGGAGGGCCATCAACTGGTCGAAGAGCCCCGCGTTGCCGGGGACGTCCTGGGTGTCGAAGTAGAGGAAGCCGAGGCAGGTGATGCGGTACTGCATGGAGACGAGGATGACGTTCTCCTCGGAGGCGAGGATCTTGTAGTCGTAGATGTCGAGGGTGGCCGTCCCGGTGTAGAAGCCGCCGCCGAAGATCCAGACCATGACGGCGGCGTTGCGGGGCCGGGGCTTCGGGGTGATGACGTTGATGTAGAGGCAGTCCTCGGACATGGGCGTGTTCGGGTTCCACATGGCCGAGCCGGCGAAGTCGCCGAAGACCGTATCCACGATCTGCGTGCACGAGTTGGGCATCTTGGTCGCGTTCAGGATCCCCTCCCACTTGTCGATCGGCCGCGGGTGCCGGAACCGCAGTGCCCCTGAAACAGGATTCTTCCTGATTAGTATGGAATCACCGGGCCGGTTATTGAAATAGATAGACAAAGAAGAGAAAAGGGATATGATGGGATCTTATGGGTGGAAGCGGAGAGTTGCAATGGACAAAGGAGGTAAGTAATAGACTAACTAACGGCGACCGACAAGAGACCCGAAAAAGAGTCCATCATTTTCCCTCTTGGTCTGTAAGAACCACCAGCGGGAAAAGCGTTGAAAAGCCGGCGTTGAAACCACCAGCGTTGAAATTGATAGACAAAGCTATAGAGAAAGAAGAGAAAAGGAATATGATGAGATCTTATGGGTGGAAGCGGATGGTTGCAATGGACAAAGGAGGTAAGTAATAGACTGACTAACGGCGACCGACAAGAGACCCAACAGTTGGTCCAATATTGTCCCTCTTGGTCTGTAAGAACCACCAGTTGCAACCAATGGGATCGCTCCATACTCCCTATGTCTTCTTTGTCTATCGCTTTGTCTATCAATTTCAATAATCAGTCTGCAGGACCGGTAAGAGGTGGGGATGTAACACCTCATAGAGAAAGAAAAGGAGGTTTTCGGGCATTTCGGGCATCTCGGATTGTTTTGATGACGTAGGTCGGTACGGACGATTTTTATCATCGATTTTCTTGGAAATGGTGTGGTTTAGGGACAGGTTTGGAAGTCATTCGACATAAAGTGTTAGTGTTAAAGTGTAAAGTGTTAGTGTAGTGTTAAAGTGTTAGAAGTTATATCATGAGTTGATTTCAGCAAAAAAATCGGACGTTATGGTCCGTTTTTCATACTTCGAATTCCAGATTTTGCTGGCCATGTTGCACCGACCTACGTCACGGGGTAAGTATTCGTCAAGATTCAAACACCTCCTTTTGTTTCTCTATGCTAACACCCAGCGGGCCGATTATTGACACTGATAGACAAAGCTATAGACAAAGAGAAAAAAAGGCAGGGTATTGCCACATAGAATTTAGAAAATGAAATTCCCTGACATTTCATTAAGAATGAAAGGTATCCTTTCTGAGTGCAGAGCTTTCTTCGCAAAATAAATCAAGATACTAATTTAGATAGTTTTATTTTGTACCTGAACATTTTCTTACCTACATGATGCAGGGGTTAACAGTCGCAAGAACACAAAAAATGCCCATTTTTCCGGGTATAATTGGCTATTCCGGGAAATTGAAAGGTGATGGACAAAAACGGAGGTCATATTCGGATTTACCGCCTCAAATTATGTATAAATCACCTAATTTCGACCGGGAGACATTTTTGTCATTTTTTTATGCATATTCTTGATCGTTAGAAAAAGGGAGGAAATCTTTAGTCTTAAAAGCGCCAGAAATCACATTTGAAGTCAAGTTCCTCGGTCAGGATGTTAATATTTTGTTAAACTCAGAAGTTCAAATGATATCAGCGACCCAAAAATCATAAGATCCATCACCTTTTATTACGGTCCATTGCATTTTCTGATAAAGTTCCGTTAAATCCAGTCTGTGGACCATAGTGCGGCGTGCTGTCAGCGCGACACGGGCACTGGCGCCTACAAACCTAACAGGGATACTTCACGCATTGCGCAATGCGTGAAGTATCCCTGTTAGGTTTGTAGGCGCCTATGCGCGTGTCGCGCTGTTCGCTCTCGTCCGCCGCGCCGCGGTGCTTCAAGCAACTACTTCGCAACAAAGGTGTTACACAGTATCATACGAAATTGAAGGCTCTACAACGTATCGAGAATGACAGGCATCCTATAAGAGTCGGGATTTTTCATCGCAAAATAAATCAAGATACTACGGCACAAAAAGAGAGTGGAAGTTCAAAAGCTCACTCATTTCTAGTATCCGTATTTAATAACGTTTAGCATAATTTTTGAATTTTATTAGAGAAAAATGTGATTCGAGTTGGGCGGAAACATTCTTCAGTATGCCGTCAAGAAGATTTTATTATGAATCGAGAATAAATGTTTAAATGAATAAATGGTTTGAAATAGTTTTCAGGCAAAATTTGTCGTTCGAAACGTCAAACCCATTCTAAAAAGCAAATAAAAGTGACGTACAGAGTTTCCCCTGACATTTTCGTCATTTTCCCCGACATTTTTGTCATTTCCCCTGACATTTTCGTCATTTTCCCTAACAGATTCAGGTTGTCCCTAACTTTTTTAAATTCCCTGACGTTTCCCAGTTTCCCCAAAGTTTCCTGACGGTGGCAACCCTGAAAAGAGATATGGAGGATTAACGGAAGCTGGCTTTTGTGATGGACGACGAAAGTAGGTAATAGATTAACTAACGGCAAACCACGAGAGACCATATAGATAGTCCATCATGTTTTCCCTTGTTCTATAAAGACCACCCATCTCAACCAATAGAAATGTTCCATACTAACTATACCTTCTTTGTCTATAGCTTTATCGATCGATTTCGATAATCAGCCCGCTGGGTCGTATCTCTAGTCGTTTTTTAGTCATAGCTCTTCTTCACGGCACCAGCAGTGGCGTGGCGTGCTTTGCGATATATCGATTGTTATGCCATTTAAACCTATGGAAAATGATTGATAGACAGGGTGTTCGCAGCGAACACCTTAATAATCGATTCTTTACCATAGGTTTAAATGGCACGACAATCGATACATCGCAATTCACGCGACACCACTGGGCACCATATGGCTTAGACTGTGATGGAAAATTTGCACTAAAAATTTTATCGCTGCACCTGTGAGTGCTTAATGAGCTGCGTTCGGAGTTTTTTTCATGATTTTTTTCACATACGGAACATTGTAGAAAAGTGTATTTAAAATTAAAAAAATCTGCCGCCTTGGTTTGGTAATATCACATCTGGTGAATGTTTATTTTAGAAACAAAATGATACTATTATGCTCAGCTCACGCAATAGTTTCTTCTGAAATATGAAATTCACATCTGATTTCTGCAAAGTCTCCATTAGAGGCAATTCAGGGAAACATTTATTGTGGTGCAAGAACTTCATGGTAGGAAAAAAATTAGAATAAAAGCCGTCTTTCAGATGATTTTTGGTTATATGGTGGGATAACAACAATTAGGGAGCAGAGGAGAGCGACATTGGCGAAATATTGTTAGTATATGTGTTCCTTGCCGGACTGAAAAAAATTAGCGAAATTATTCCACGCAATTAACTATTCGTGCTCTCAAGTCGCTCAAGTTGCCATCATAATTATTGAAGGCGAACTCGACAGGATGAGAGACACGCAGTAAGGAAAGCAGTGAAGTGTGTTCCTGGCTAGGCTGAAGGAAAAGGGAAACACTTCTCTGCTGTGCTGAGGAAGAACGCCGTATGGACATTCGAGAGTTGCCATATTTTCCTGGATAAAACATGAATTTTTGGGGCAAGTTATGCATATTAATCCTTGAATTTTTCAGATAATTTAGATAAAATCGCAAACAAGCTTGTCTGAAAAATATTAATAAAAATACTCGTAGCAACGGTTTTCCCAGCACATTCGTATTTTATTGAAAGGAATATCGCAACACCTGAAGGTTCATACGCCGGTTTTCCTTAGGATGGGAATACGGCGCTTAACTGTTTACGCTCCCCGGTTATTCATGAATAGCCTTTAGGTTGTGACAAACAGAGCCAGAAAAAAACGGAAAAAACAAAATCCAGCAGTGAAAAAATATAACCAGCAATAACTTCCAAATTCTACATGCATGCCTTTACTGAAAACGGCCTTTTGCCTGAGTACTCAGAATAGATCGTAGTGCTTTGCCTCTGTACCTTTAGCATATAAGGCAAAGCACTAAAGGGAGTAAAATTTTCCTTACAATTACTTATGAAGCTCTTAAATAGACTGAGTAACAACTTTCACTGGTTACCTCACTCGAAATTTATGATATTTATGATGAGACTAAAAAACGGAGTCAGTTTTCAACTCCGCGCAGCTAGGGCGAGGTTGAAAAATGAATTTCTTGTGCTGGCCATGCTCGTACGCGGAGAAAAAATGACGTAATTTGATTTAAAACGGCCCCAAAATCTCTATCTTTACAGATATGGTAAGGTTGTTGAAATGTGATTGACGTGTGGACTCCAAACGTGTTGCCATTACCCCTTCCCTCATCCATTCCTCTTGCGCGACTGTGCAAATGGTGAGAATTTTTTTCTGCTTACGGAAGTTCTAATAGAGGAAATATCGCATGAAGTTGTCAATTTTTTGGTCTTCAAAGCGGATTTTTTTCAAACCGATTTTTTTTTCATAGTGAAGTAGGTAAAAAGATTTTTTTTTTTTAAATCTAGACTGACATCAATTCGGAGCAAAAAAAATCTTTCGATCATATTTCCTGTTCTACTTTCATAAAAAACTGGTGTAAAGTGGCAAATTAGTCACAGCCGTGGCGTGGCCAGATGTAGGCGTCCTAGAAATCTGAAGCTCCGCCCCTCAGATCTGGATTTCCACCCACTCCTCCAAAACCGTTATATGTTACTTTCAGGGTTTCTTCTTAAAAATACTTTCCTGAAAGCCCCGTATGAGAAAATTTTATCCATCTCTCTCCCACACAGTGCAAATCATAGGCATGCTTTGAGATACATCGATTGATCTGTCATTTAAACCTATGGAAAAGGATTTATAAACAGGGTGTTCGCAACGAACACCCTAATAATCGATTATTTATCATAGCTTCAAATGGGAAACTGTCGATTATCGATCATTTACGCCTCGCCACCAGAGGCGGATCCAGGAATTTTGCAACGCCGAATTTCCTCCATTGAAATCTACGCTAAATAATCGATTCTCATCAGAGCACCTGGCCCCTCCAAGGATCGATACATTTCCATATGTTTGAATGGAGGAAATCCGGTGTTGCCAAATTGCTGGATCCGCCAATGCTCGCCACTGGTGCAAATTTCCTGTTACGTCCCCGGCTAATTACTGCTGTGAGGGAAAAAAGACCCCCGGGTTTTTTATCGTGAATCTAAACCATCAGTAAGTTATTCCGGACCGAGTCTGATAAAAGAGTCTGCTACCTTTAGAACCTCAAAAGGTTTGTAAAAATGGAGATATAAGCGTTTGAAGTTTCTAAATGTAGTCTGATCTCTCGTATAGACTCGATCCACTGTGCGCCATTGCCAGAGTAGCAACGGAGGGTCTCTTGTCTCAGGAAATAATGACCAATCCCTCCAAGGAGCAGACCCCTTGTTTTCCACCAAACTTTGCTCGTTTTAATGGAGATGTTGCATGTGTGAGGAATTTGCGATTTGACTGTTGATTCCTGTGTAAAAGTTCGCGAGAAACACGATGGTGCCACTGGTTTTCTCTGAAATCAACTCCCAAGCTCAAAATAAGCTCTCAAGTTGAGGCCAAAATGGAGGGGATATCCCACGCTATCCCGTGAGTTCTCCTCTACATCAAGACAAACTCTCCATGCAAAGATAGGGAGTAAATGCATTAGCAGTGATGCCGTGTTTTCAGTTTTGGAGTCCCCAAATAAAGCGGCAGCCTTGTCAATGTATTTGCTCCCTATCTTTGCACGGAGAGTTTGTCTTGATGTAGAGGTGGACTCTCAGGGTAGAGTGGGATATCCCCTCCATTTTGGCCTCAACTTGAGAGCTTTTTTTGAGCTTGGGAGTTGATTTCAGAGAAAACCGGTGGGACCATCGTGTTTCTCGCGAACTTTCACATAGGAATCAACAGTCAAATCGCAAATTCCTCACACATGCAACATCTCCATTGCCAAGATAGCAACGGAGGGTCTCTTGCCTCAGGAAATAATGACCAATCCCTCCAATAAGCAGACCCCTCGTTTTCCACCAAACTTTGCTCGTTTTAATTCAACCGGATCCAACTCACCGATTGGTTTTTGTGCGTAAGGTATGCCGAGCCAGGCATCGACCTGTTTGCCTGTTGCTGCGGTGAGCGTGGTGCCTCGAACTTTGCCTTTCGTCGTCTGAACCACGAGCGGATCATTGTCCCCTTCGTCCGCCATCATCTCTTCCTCCGCCTCAGCTCCTTTGTACTTGCTCCTCTCTCCTTCGTGTTCCGAGTGTCGAAAATTGAGCCCTTCGTCGCTGATCCCGTCTCGAAATCCAAACCCATGTCTGAAATTAAAAAGGAAAATTTAAAAACGGCCCAAGCCTTTAATTGTCTAATCCTCCATTACATCAATTTAGACAGCGAACGAAGCCACATCTTGCTATTGCCGAATTCGATTGGGCAATTTAATTTTTTTAGATATATTTCTGCGGATTAACGTGCCTCGTACAATGCAGAAAATGCCCTCGTATTTGCACACAAATCCGCACAACCGTTTTCATGTAAAAAATTAAATTGCCTAATTAAGTTTGGCAACAGCTGACGTGGCTTGGTTAACGCGGTCAATTTCTATGAAAATCAATGACTTCTGAATAACTTTTTAGAATATTAGGTATAAGTTAGGCGCATTGGATCAAATCTCCATCACGTGGTCAAAAAATTTGATCTCTGTGGGTTCCCATGGATCCCCTTGAGTTCCTTTAAAAATCCTATGGGAAATCCATGAGTACCCACGGGACATTTTTAAAAGAAGAGAGCAGGTGCGTTTCTGTTCGCCTACTTCCTCAACAATTTTCTACATTTTATCTAGAAAATTATGACACTATTCTGCGTACGAAGTCTTATTAATTACTCCTCTTAAAAAATTAAACACATTAAAACAGCTGCCTCATTTTTGGACAATGGAATGGAGATTACAGCTTTTGATCCTTGGCGCTTCAAGTATCCTTTCATCATAAAATAATAACTTTGAAGAGGTCCTCCTCCCCCAAAAAGGGAGGAGGAGGGGAGGAGGTCATAGAGCTACAGCGCCAAAGATGAATGCCACTAAATGCGAATCTTCCCTGAAAAGGAATTAACATTAAAACATGGGGACAACTTGTCTCAAATGCAGGTTTAAGTTTGACAGTATGTTGGAAGTTTTTAGCCAACGTGCGTTAAAAATTCAGTATAAAGCCGAACAACTCAACAGCACACTCGATTGTAGGACATTCAGGAGGCTGCGCTGCACTGGGGATTGGCCCAATAAGGCTGAAACGCGTCGGCAGTTGCCTTCCTGAATGGTTGTTACTGGTGTTGCACCAAACAGTGTATCTCTTTTAGGTAAAATTCTGCTTGTGAGTGAGCTATTTCCCTCTGCATTGAGTTTTTCGACTTTATGCTGAATTTTTAACGGACGTTAGCTAAAAACTTCCAACATACTGTCTTACGACCCGACCGTCCACCGCAATCGGTTTGTGTTTAAGTTTGAATTTTTCGCAAGAAAAGCCCTACATAGAATATCAAATTACCGAAACAATTCCGATCAAAGTAGCATCAAAGTGTCGGGAGTCATCAGTCTCAAACTCATTAATTTGCTTCATTTATAAATGAAAACCTGGCAGAAATGTTTCCTGTGGCAAGAAATGATGAATGGTGGCACTCCGTTCTGATCTTACTTTGAACAAAAAAGTGCGGCCCGTCAAAATTTGATGGTAGATGGTGACCACCAGTCATCAGCATGTCTACTTTGATCAGAATTGGTTCGGAATTTGATCGTGTGTATATATATATATATATATATATATATATATATATATATATATATATATATATATATATATATATATATATATATATAAAAAGTCGCTTTTATAGCGCTCTTTGGCGCTGTGCGACGCCTAATCGCCACAAAGCTCGTAATTTGATCGTCTATCCAGGACTAAAAGGATGATATCATTACTCGCCTTGGGTTGCGGAGTTGGTCAGTCTCAGGCGAGGCTCTGAGAGGGAGGTGATCGAAGTCCATGTTGGATGCGGGAGGATCCAGTTGGTGGCGAGCGTGGCGCAAAAGCGACTTGCCTGCTGAAAGGACGACAAGGATCGATGTCACGAGCCATACCTCTGCTAACATCAACCCGCCCATCATAATCCTTCCTGCCGGTCAGAAATTAAACAAACACTTAACATCACGCCAAAAATTAAGAGTACGTAGGGTCGTAATTTAATGAAGTGAGGAGGGGGCCATGCTCTGGACGACGAGTTCCGAGCCCGGTGTGCGCCGAGATTAGGTCACTCTTTCGATACATTTTATATCCAAAATGGCGATGTAAAATACGTAAAGTCATATCTCCTTTGTTTACATCGGATTAGAGGATCTGTATAGCGAGAGTATGGACTGCTCGCTTTATAGAGGGCTTTAGGGCCCAAAAGGGCAGCCGGCCTTATAACACACAAATTTTAACTGTCAATCTTCTGATTCCAATCCAAACCAAGATGGCTAAGAATGTTCGTAAATGTGCGTTCTTCCGTAAAAATGAGTAAATTTATGCAAATCTAAGTCAAATACGTGCATTACAAGTGTCGAACCATTACAATTGTAATAATAAATCGTTCTGGATAATTTGAATTCATAGGTTAGCTACCCTTTCGGGCCCTAAGTTTATTCGCAGAGGCATCGGTGAAGGCCTGATGGATTTTCGGAGTCTTACGCCTGTCTATACTCTCGATATACAGGCACTCACTCTACATCGGATGGTCGGATACCCGTGTATCGAAAACAATCGAAAATGTATCGAAATGGTGACCCGATACCGCACGGGAGTCATGGCATTCGGTGACCGGAAAATGCTTAAAAATGGTGCCAGCTCCTCCATTCTTATTACGACCCTATGTATGCACTCTACGTACTCTATACAAAAATTTCTGGATGGGCCAGAGTAGAGTAAGTAACTTGGTAGAAGGAGTACGGACGTGGTGCCCCTCAAACTTCAATAGAAGCCTTAGGACCCTAAAATGGTTGCACTTTGTACTCGTTTTTGATGATGGGAGGGGGGTCATTGTCAACTTTTGAACGTTTTGATATCACGAGCCGCACTTGCTCAAGATGATTTTTCCGAAAATAGCACACGATCATTTGGGCCTAAAACGGCCTGCAATGTTCAATGCATTTATCGCTGGTGAAAGTCACAAAACACGAATTTCGATTTGCGACGTCGCAGATTTTTTGTCACATTTATTTCATCCGAGAAAAATCAATGGACAGAAAACAGCTACAGATCTACATAAAAAATGAGTCAGAGAGCAGGAAAAGCGATGCCTATATTTAGAATTGAATCCGAGATTGATTCCGTGAAATCCGAGATTGAATCCGTTTTTCCTCATCACTTCAGCACTTTTCAGGGAATGGATGTATTCCAAAAAAACAGGATTTTTCGAGGAAAAATTTAATTAAAAAGGAAGACTATTGCATGCTAGGGAAAATGGACGCTATTTCTGGATTTATCAACTAAAATCACAAATCTATATGACGCCTGAAAATTTTTCTCGCTTTTCCTGATATAGAGTAAAAAATATTCCTCGGCAAAATGACGAAATTTAACCCATATTACCTGTGAATCTTTCCCGTTTGTTCTGGGCCTATAAAAGAAGGTAGAAAATGGCTTCTGAAGCCAAAGAACTACCTTAGATACTCTCCATTACTCATCAGTTTTCCTCAGATAATTCTGGCTGTCCGGAAAAACTTTTTCGGGCATCCTTGAGTGATGAGAAAAAACAGATAAAATGTTCATATTTGGAGCTAAAATTAGATTAAAAACCATTTTTCTTGAATCTTGCCTCATTGCCTTGAATAAAATTATGTACATTAGGTCTGTGTCATTGTTTGGAGTTTTTAATAAATCGTGCATTCTGAGAGAAGAATCCTACGGATTTAGTTTTTTTAAAATGAGTACATCGTCATTTCTTGAAAAAATAAAGAAAACGTAAACATTTTGAAACATCGCAATCGGAATACACGTTGTGACTTTCACCATCGTAACAACATTCACAGAAAAGGGACCCTAATCCACCTAGCCAAATTTTCAGTAAAGTTCTTATCACTCAAGGATGCCCGAAAAATCGAAGTTCTTATTAAGTAGGGCAGAGAAATTGGACCTCTCGATGTAGACGGAAATTCTTTCTAGTGTAGTCATGAATAGATTGATGTTTAGTTATTTTTGTGCCAATAGAAGGCGTAAAGTATTAGAATTCTGACATGAGTACCCGGATCAAGGTAGAATAAAATTTCAAATAATCTCCCCCCCCCCCCCCACACACTATACGCTCTTTGGCGACTGGAAGATTTAAAACGCTATATTTCGGTACGCTTCGAAATTCTTGGACGTTTTAAACATTTAAAACAAAAATAAAACATTTCCATAACTCTTGTATCGATAGCTAAATTCTGTGTTATTGCGGAGAAAATTCATTTGAATGGTCAACTGCAATAGAAGCGCTGGGTGCAGAAAAGGCATTACTTAAAGATTGCGGTGTCTCAGGATATTCGTCCAAGTTTCATCCACTAACATTATAGCAAATGCATGGAATCTGCGAAAAATTTTACTGGATTTTCTTTCTGATTTCACGATTCTGAAAACTATAAATTTCAAAAAATTGACCCAATGGTTTCCCCCTAAAATGTAAATTAGAAGTGGAGATTCTAAAAAATGTACCGCAACCAAGAAGTGCCTTTTCTGCACCAAATGCCTCAATTCGTCGTGCCTCACTATAAGTACCCATCGAGTATCACTAATCCAGTGACATTTTCACGGGTATATTATGATTTAAGTTCCAAGCTCATGTCATAGCAATGGAAAACTGACACTGCGCTGAATTTTTATCTTGCAAAAAACACGCGCTTCAACCATATCTTTATGCGACTCTCGCCATAATAATCTTTATTCAAGTTAATACCGAATGTTTGCACAATGGATTATGCATTTCCTGAGAGGTGCGATGCCTCTTTTGGTAGTCTGCCGCGCTAAGAAAAAACGCCGTGTGAACTTTAAGGCGTTGCCAAATTTCCTTTCGTAAATCACGAATTTCCAGGAAAATTTATAAATATTTTTCTTCCAATTTTTCTGATAATTTTGTTCGCAACTTTACCTTAAGCTCTTGAAAATTTCTTGGGAAAATATTCATAAATTTCCTCAAAAAAGAAACATTTTATCGAAGGAAATTTGGCAACTCTCGAAAGTTCATACGGCGTTTTCCTTAGCACGGCAGTTTTGGTATTCAACCCCTTTCCATCGAGAGACCAAAGCCGTTTCGAAATGATGGACTCTGAACGGCCTCGAGATGCCATCTCAGTAGGCATGAAACAGTAGCTATATTACTTGTGCCAAAAAGGAGTATGTGAATAGGATTTACATACAACATAGTTCCTTTTGATTTTATTTACTTGCTTTTCCCTTACGTCTCAATCTTATTTGAACGTATTCAAATAAAAAGAAATCACCCTTATCGTGACATGGGACCTGAGATCGATATGAATACATGCTTGAGAGGGCCCATCTCGAGATGGATATAGTTCCTTTTGATAGAAACACGGTAGTTTAAGGCGACGCCATCCGGCGCACAATCGCAGCGAAAAGTTTTATTTGTTCTCTTTGTCAATAAATATGAGCAACACAGCTGCTGCAGCTTTTGAAACTACTGAAAAGCTATTTGCGAAGAATTATGTCCCAGCCTCAACCAGAATTTATACTCAAATTACCCGCTTGCTGTCGTGGATCTCAGATGCTTGCATTAAAAAGGCGGTGTAGAAATATCCTCAGCGCATATGATAGTGATACATTAAGCTCGAGCGCTTTCTTAAATCAGGATGCAGGATCGCGAATGTTGCAGATATTTGTGCATGTTGTATTGTAATGTGCGCTAAAAGTTCCTTTCAGCACTGAGCACGCGCGCACATACGCAAAAGTACCGCTCTAGCAAACAGAAATCTACTCGATGGAAAAGTATACTGACGAATAGACTATCATTAGGGGGCTACGCCCCCTGGCCGCTACGCGGCCCAACCCCCTGAAGGCGCTCCGCGCCATCAATGGGCCGCTTCGCGGCCCTATTTTTACCCTCCTATCAGTGTTAGTTTTATTTTTACCCTAAAAAATTACGATATAAGGTATACTTTAATTTTAAACTTTACTTAAAATTACTTTGAAATTAAAAGGACGCGTTTTGGAATGACTGCTTGATGAATTATTGCAGTAAAACAATGAACAATGGTAAAGTCAAGTAATAATTTAGATTACATGAGTCGGGGATCGAACCCGCACCGAGTTCACAGAGGACGCATTCGACGTCTTAGACGACTCAGCCACCTCTCGACTTAAGGTCGCAGGTGCGAATCTTGTGTAGATAAGTGTAGAGCTGATGCGCAGGCTACACAGCTACTGCGCAACCTCCTCGACCACTGCGCATCCTCCCGCGCATAGCGGTAGCAGTACCGGAGCATTCTGTAAACTCAGTCACTTTTATAACGTGATTTTAAAAAAACCTGGGTCCTTTTTCCAAAATCTGATTAAAGCGGGCTCATCTAGAGCCAATTACCTGTCGATTTACGCAAAAAGCATGGAAATCGGCCCGGTAGAACGCTCAAACGAACTATGACAAAAAGTATAAATTTACATTGTTTAAATGGGAGAATTCGCAACTTTACCACGTATTATAAAAAAACCTGGGCCATATTTTGAAAATCTGAAAAGAGTTGGCTTGTCTAGAGACAATTGTCCGTCGATAGCCGCAAAAATCATGAAAATCGGCCCGGTAGAACGCTGGAACTAAGCGTTACCAGTTTCGCAAAATTAGGAGGTCTTGGAGCTTATAGTATAGATTCCACTTATCTCAGTTCGCAACGTTGCAAATCTCCTATCACATTTTACTTTTTTGAGGATGGCCTGGTCATGGTTTTTTTCTCGCAAGAATATATCTTAGATTTATCTCCGGTCTTCCAAAACTACTCCCTGAAAAGGACCTAGTGCGAGGTGACGACATTTTTAGGAAAGAATTTTTTTTAAAACGAAACTGAATGACTTTTTGCAATTTCACGGTAGTAAAATTCTTTATAATCTCAAAATAGTCGTGATTACTTAGGCATACTTTTTTTTCTTTAGAGGTAGAGCGAAAATATGCATAGAATCAACATCACAAATCCTCAGACATAGTAGAATACATTATTAATAGTATTTTCCGAATAACTACGTTTTGCAACTACAAATTACAACCGTCATAACTTCGGTTTGGTTTCACAGATTAGGACGGTTTCTGATCAAAATGTTTACTGGACACTCCTCTAGCAGTGGATTTTTTGGTCAGTAAGAAGAAGTGAGAAGAATAAAGAAAAAAGGGGGATAAGTGAAAAGGAAGAGAAGGAGAAGAGGAGGAGGAAGCAGAAGTTCACAGTACATAAGTCTTTTTTAGCTGCGGACGATCGAGTTTTGTTGCTTGGCTAAACTTTAAAATGAGCCTTGCTTTTTATCTCACTTGATTACTTTCCATGTCTCAGAAAGAACTGGAGTCAGGTTCAGCGGAGTGACGTATTAGATTATTAAGTAAGGTGATCGTAGTACAGATTTTCTTCTCTATAGTCGTTTTCTATTATCTTAAATTGCTTAGACATTGCATACGACTTTTTTTTCGAAAGAGGTTGACTCTACTTAATCCTTGGAACGCTTAAAAGTATACTCTCCTGATGGAATTTTTCCGGCTGGGCAGAAACCGAGATGAAAAGAGAGCTGAATTCACGTGTTTTATCGCGCTTGTTCGAAGCCTGCATTCGCCTTTTCTTTTATGTGAGGCTTCAAGTGCACGGTGTTCTTCCTCGCTGAACGAAACCACGCGTGGCTCCGTACATTTTCTGTGGTAGTTGCGCGGTTCTGTTTCAGCCGGGAAGAATTGGCATGGTCACGCGAATGCTGTTCCTTACAACGGACCGTAAACTCAGCTCGTTGCAAGAAACATAAACCAGACCTCGATGTTACCTTTGCATGCGGCTTAGGCACCATTTTTATTTGTTCATTTTCCCCAAAAGAAATAACGGGTTGAGTAATTTTTCGCTGACCTTGTTTTTTTCCTCTGAAAACTCACTCTAGCTTGGACACGCAGGCTGGCATGGCAGTTGGAAATAATGGTGACGTGATCAGTTTTGACACTGTGAAATGGTAGGTACGTCGGTGGGTTTCTTTTTTTTTTCAACACCTCTCTGAACTGTGAAAAATTCATACGACCTTTGTAGCAGTGGCGTGGCATGAATAATCGATCATCGATTTTTTCCATTCAAAACTATGGTAAAGAATCGATTATTAAGGCAGATCAATTGATGCATTGCAAAGCACGCCACGCCACTGCTTTGTAGGTATATACTGAGCCTCTGTCGTTATTTGATAAAAGAATCAGTCCATTTCAAAACATAATATGGCAAAAATCCCATAAAATTTTGGCGAAAATTCCTCTTGAAGACTTCCATCGTTTATGTGAAGGTTCCACAATAACTCTAAAATTAGGATGTGATTTTTCCTGAATTAAATAATAACCTCATCATGTCATTCCATCCGAAAGCTTAATAAGTGCAAAAGTTTTGGTTATAGATACAATATAAATCAATCGGGGCTGTCAACAACAATCCTGAATCTTTCTCCTTATTCTGGGAACAATAAATGAACTAGATTGTGCAAAAAGGAACTTTGAAGATAAAGAAACTTGGACTTCAAGTTTTAAGTCTCAAGAAATTAAGGTGCTTTGTGGATGAGCCAGAGGTGTTCGTTTCTTTTTTAAGAACATAGTCTGATTGGGCGAACACCTAGATACAACTATTCGCACTTGATGGATGACCGTATCGCATACCCAAAAAATTGAAGGTGCGCTGACTTTTGTGACAACTGGTGAGGTGTCCACCACTGTGTAAATATGGAACTATTACTTCTCGCTCAATTTAGAGACAACACGTTTGCCCTCGCTTTCCCTTTACAGATAGGTTATTTAATGGATACCAGGGGCGGACTGGCCATGGGGGCGGGGAGGCGATCGCCTCCTAACAATTACCCGCGGAGGTCCCGAAGGGGCCCCCGCGGCGAATTTTTTTCGAGTCATCGTTTTTTTCCCCCGTAATGTTGTAATTTTCCTATCCTTCTCAGTCACTAAAAGGCCCCGAAATCCTTGAAAATTTGTCTCTAAGAGACATGAAAGGTCGCCTAAAGCTTATGTTATGAAGGGACCCCCAAGAATCCTGAGAATGGGATATTTTGAAGTTCAAGTACTATAGAATCCAACGCCAATAATGCTTAAAATTGCGTTTATAAAGTGTGAAATTTTCAAAATTTTTCGGGGGAGGGCCCCCGGACCTTCTTAGAGGGGCCCCCGAACGACAGGAGGGGCCCCCACATTTAGGTCGCCTCCTAACTTTTCGACTACCAGTCCGCCCCTGATGGATACACGTACTGGATGAGCCAGTGTTAGTACTGCATTGTTGCAAAATGTAATCTAACTTTCCTGGCCGACGCGGGGTTTAACAGATATACGGGGTATATCTTTTGCAAAATTGAACTTTAAATATACGTCACGCTATCTGCGCTCAAGAAGAAGGGTGACAAACTCTCCAAAACGACGTTCGTTCAAATAATTAAGTAGGAAAAGTTTTGAGTTTTGTAAATTTTAGCGATTCTCATTTTATTAGAATTAGTGTTTTCCTTGTTGTTAGCCTTGTTTATCGATTATTAAAAATACATTTAACGACATTTTTCAACTCCCTCTATAACTCCTGTGAAAGCTACTTTTCCTTTAAATAAGGGCAGGCAAAAAAAAAAAAAAAAAAAAAAAAAAAAAAAAAAAAAATAATTCACAGACGAGGAAAAGATCAGTGAATCCTTACCAACTGCAATCGGTTGAGTACAGCCAGCTTTCAAGTTTTACTACCTCAAATAAGATCCATGTTCATCTCCTCATATTGCCAGTGTTTTGGGTGATATTCTTGACTTGAAATCAGTCAAATCTGCAAAATAAACAATACTGAATTAGTGCATGGAAGTATTATCTGTAAATACTGTAAGAATGAACTAAACTAAGCGCATCTCGTTAGTTACGACAATAGAGAGACTTTCCGCTTGAAATCTGAGAATGCGTTTTTCCTTACACCTTGACAAAAATAGCTCTACCAATTTTACCGTTTGAGCTAATGTGCGTTTTTCTGTAGACAATCACATATCGATGGTGAGATTATTAAACTTTTCATTACTCCTCTTCGGTGAAATGAATCAAAATGATTTTTTTAATCGACTAAATTTTTGGGTTCAGTCCAGCGCAACCGTAGATTACCTAGAGATTCTTGCTTCTCTTGATGTCACTTAGAGCCTGAAGGTTGCAACTTGCAAGGGGCTAACGCATGGACTATCATTGACGCGATCATTGGTCGATCCGCACCTGATTTTTAACGAGGTTGCAAATTTTCAACCTAAAGATTTGGTCAATGCAACCCAAAGATTTGGTTAATGTGACCCAATGAAATACCAATCAAAAAATGTTACTACACATTCAGGTTACTTTACGAACCATCAAGTGAATGTGCCTGAAAAAGAGGGGTTGATAAGACGCGTTTACTCGTGCTGGGCTTATTTTTTGTGAAAGCTGTGTCAACACTAGCAAAATTTCACGGAACTTTGCGCGAAAGTTAAGTTCCGTAAACCGATCTCTGAGCGGACAAGACATATCATTTGTAAGACATGAACGAAAAAATTATGAAAGAGTAAACATGAATGTGGTTTAATAACTTTAATTTCCGCCACCGTGCCAAGTGCACTGTATTTCACGCAATGCGTGAAGTATTCATGCAGTCTTGTAGGCGCTATGCGTTTCACGCCAACCGCATCTGACCGCACTAGGTTTGACGCAATGCATGAAGTATTCATAAAGACTTGTAGGCGCTAATATGTTTCATGCCGACGCGCCGAGGGCTTCTCCTTTTCATCTCAAGTCCTCGTCATCATTGCTCTCTGCGCCGCGCCGCTCCAGCCCAAGTTACGTGTTTGATTTCTCTCTCAATTAGACTAATAAAAGGTGCTATCTCTTATCTCTGACAGGCGAACAAATTAGAAATTAATATACTTTAACTCCCAGGAAATGAGAGATTTTGTCGCCATTTCTCGTTGGTAATTTTTTTCTGAGTCCGCACTGAGAAAAAAAGTACGGTCAGGAGAACCGCAGTGCGTTAGCACGTACCGCACAGTACGGCCGATATTGAACACCGAATGTTTCGGTTTACACTACAGTATATCCTCGGTAGCTACTACCAGACTTCTCGGTTCGGGGTACCGAGATTCCCGATTCAGGGTACCGAACTCTCGGTTCCTGCTACCGAACTGCGATTTGCACAACCGGGGTGGTGCGGTTTGCGTTACCGACGTTTTTAGGGGTGCGCCGGTAAGGGTAGGGCGATGTGACGTAGCTGCTGGGGCAGGAGGGGGGGGGGCTCCGGCAGGGTAGCTGGCGCGTTTTTCGCTACCGCACGCTAGTAGGGAGTGCCCATTTTTGGTACTCCTGACTGCCGTGTTTTTTCTCGTGGGGAGGGGGGGGGGCTAGGGTGCCCATTAATACATAATGTCGAGATATTTAATGAAAGGGGAGAGGGAGAGATGATTCCAAATTTCCCTCAATAGAGGAAAAGATCCTATGTACCCTCTGGAAGAGATGCAAAAATCCCCGTTGGTCCTGCTAAGACCAACAGGGATTTTTGCATCCCTCCCAGAGGATACATGGGATATTGTCTTCTATTGAGGGGAATTTGGAATCATCTCTCCCCCCCCCCNGCTCGGTTCGCACTCCCGCACCCTGCGGTTCACATGACCGAGAGTACGGTGCAGGTAACCGTATTACTGCGCACCGTACTCCTCGGTATAAATTATTGTACTTTTTTTCTCAGTGCGATTTCTTTTCGATACCTACATTTGAAAAAATTGCAAAATTTGCCGCCACCCAAATCCGGCCCTGACTTCCGATACCACAAAAAAAAAGCCGGTTACTATTTTTCACTGTATGTATCCAATCGGCCTGCTGCACAATTTTTTTTACTTGTATCGGAAGAACCAAGGATCCTAATGTCACAGGAATTTTTTCAGAGTTTTTTAACGACCGGATACTCTCAAAAAATTAACTTAAAAACGCCCCAAAATTCGTATTGTCAAAACGGTCACTTTTACGCGGGACTCGGTACACTCGTGACGTCACAGCACATGCTAAACCTGGTATTTGGCCGTTTATAATGCATTTTTCCACGAGAAATTGGCAGCCTTTTGGAAAGGAGACCAGGTTTGTCACACGCTCTGACGTCACGAGTGTACCGATCCGTTCACGCGTAAAAGTGATCGTTTTGAGTGGGTCGGTTCCGGAAACAGCTTTTTTTGAGTTTGGAATGAGTCATCAATTGGACTACATTTTGCAATTAAGAACTATAAATTTCGACCCAGTTTCAAAACAACGTATGTGCTATTAGTTTCCCTATGCACATAAGTTTTTTTCAGATGAGTTAGAATTTATAGCTCCAAATTGCAAAATGCAGTCCAATTCGTCACCTTCCGGCCAAAGTATCACAAGCGCTATGCGACGTTTAAAAATTTCCGTCATAATTTAATTGTTTTACAGAGAAATTGTTCCACGAAGCTGTCCGAAAATTTCACAGAATTTTCTTTGTGCTGCCAATAAAACTCAGTGAACTTTCTAAACAGCACGGAGAGAAATGTATGGCTTTATAAAACAATTAGTGATTCAAATGGGACACCGTTAATAGTCATTAATGAACGAATGGCTCTCGGTCTGTGAACCATACTAAGGTATCTCGTATCATACTAAGGTATGTATACCATCACTAAGGTGTATGTGCTATAAAGACGTTAATAGCCTAGGATGCTGAATGTCTATAAATGAAATAACTAACTAACAAGTATATGTTGCCTTTACTACTATTAGTAGTGTTCCATATGAACCACTAATTGAATCAGTGGGTTTGAAAACACACCAACTCGGAAAAAAAAAAAAAATTGTTCAAGAAGCACCTAAAACTGCGCAGCGGGCGAAGAAGTTAGTTTAATAAAAACCTTTTCGGTGCCAAAGGACAAGTCCTTAGAGACTTTGTAAAGCACCAAGTTGAAATCGAGACACCATGTTTGATGACGGAGAATTAAGCGTTTAAAAATTTCCGAGTTGGTGTGTTTTCATTCTCACCGACTTTCAAATACTGATTTTCCATAGTCTGCCCTGAAAAATTTATATTTTCCGACCTGAATAACGCTTGAATATTTATATAACTTGTTGGTACAAGGTATACTGAACCGAAAAAAGGAAACCGCATAATGGGATGGTCACCCGTTTCCATAGGCGGTTCTACGGGGGTGCCAGTGGGTGCCGGGCACCCCCAAGCAAAAATTAAGTATGGTTATCAGAACCGTGAAATTGCTGCTTTTAAAGATTCTGTATTCGCTCACACTGAGAAAAAATCCCAGCAATTAATTGAAAATGTTTTAAACAGAATTAATATTGATAGCCGTGTTTTACAAAAATTCTACTGTTTTTTTATGGTAAGATTGTAGTTTTGATGGAAAGTTTTGCTAAAAATTTTCTACATTGAATTTATAGGTATTTAAGTAGAGAGGAAGGAGAGAAAAAGAAAAAGGAGGGTAGGAAAAGGTCAAAACTTGAGGGCCGAAACTTAGGCCTCTCCTGATTGACCGTCCCCTTCGGGGCCGGTCTCCGACATTTTCCACCTCTGGGCATCCCCAAGCATGAAGGTCTAGAACCGCCGATGCCCGTTTCCCTTGAAATGGCCGAAAATTGGTATTTCCAATGAAATACTTCGATTTTTCCCTTTTCCCGTCGCTGTTTCGAGCACTTCCGATTGGAATTTCGAAATTTCCTTTGGCGCGCAGATGGTCCTATCTATAAGTGTTACTAAACCGTAGCAAAGTGAAAACCGAAAAAATCCGAGTTGGTGTGTTTTCGAACTCACTGATTCAATTGATAAGCCATAGCTGTTTCTCAGAGAGATTCAACCAACAATTTCTCTGCAAAAAAATAAAATGACGGCGGAAATTGTGTAACGTGGCATGGCGCTTGTGCTAATTTGCCCGGAGGGTGACGAATTCTCAAATCCTTGCACCTTGCAACAGGCCCATCATCCATATTTTCATTCACGTAAGGTCCATTTTCTCCGATTGCATCATCCACCCCGCTAATCCAGGAGACTCAACCGCCCGAACATGTCCCCGCGACACGCGCCGCAAACCAACCCGTCGGCTAATGGGATTAATTAAAGCGCAATTCGGAGCGCGCAACTTCCGTAATGAAAAAGCGCGCGTCAAGGGCGCCGCGGACCTCGCCGCGCAGAGGTGTGAAACAAATTGCGCTCGAAAGGCGAAGCTTTCGCGGGAACAATGTCTGCTGTCGACGACAAGGAAGGGGACGGCCAGGGGGGAGGGGGTCTCTCCAAACAAACAGAAAACAAAGACAATAAAAGCTCTTTGAAGCGCTCGCGAGCAGCGTGACGGAGCGGGGGGGGGGGGGGTCAAAGAAAGCAGGGGCGACTTCGCGGGCAAGTTCCGATCCCAATCACATTTTCAATTGAATCAGTTGTCCCCGAAAGGGAGCAACCCCTTCGCCGGATGAGTCCTGGCTCGAGGGTGTTTAACGCGCTCGGGGGCTCGCGGAAAAATGGACGTGACCCCTTTGGAAAACAAGCGATTCAATTGAGTGAAAGTGTTAGACTAGAGCTAACTTCATTTCGGCGGGGCGGGGCGGGGTGGCGCCGGGGAGGGTATACCACCTGTGCAGCCCGACCGACCGACCGACCGACCTCTGGCCCGGCGAAAGCTCAAAGCTGCATCCACCAATACCACTCGCGCCATCCATATTCATTTGACCTCCTCGCCGCTTTCCAACTTCCCCGCTTCCGTCATTAGGGCCGGCCGGGCGACCCTGTTAACTTTGAGCCCGGCGCTGCCGGATCGG